CCTAATTAATATGCGCATATGTAATCAAATCAAAACCGAACATGATACATCAATGAAACCTATGTACATCAGACAGGTATGGAAATACATTTTTTTTTAAGAAAAAAAAAATTATGAATATTCATCAAAATATGCAAATTAGGTCATTTCAGCTAATTATATATAGGAAAGTCAAACTGTTCATTTTTTTGGCATTTTTTAAATCATATATTTATAGATCATATTCACACCAAATATTAAAATTAAATTCCAAATGTTTTTGCAATGCCAATAAAATATGGCGATGGAAATTACTTGGATCACCGTTACAGCTATTTCCTCATATGTTTCACAATTATTCAGAAATACCGATAAAATGATAGGAATTTGCAGACTTTCAGCTACATCACAGTATAGTTTTCTTTTAAAGAAATGTCAGATTTGAGGATTTATGACGATTTTCCGAGAAACCATTCAACTGGCCATAATATTCTACAGGGACTGAATTCCAGAGAAAAACAAAATGTGGTTACCCCAGTACAGTTGTGGCTACCTTGAGTGTAAACAACAAATTGATTTAAAGAGTGAAACACATGAGGATATTGCATTTTTGTAGGGGAGTTTTATACATTGAGGTGCATTTTCACCACGCAGAATAAAAGTCAATGGGCGATCAGCGGGCCATGTCACACATGGCTAAAAAGACAATATTATAATTAATAATTTAACATATTTTCCACATGCCTATAACAATGAAACTACACAGAATTGTAGTTAAAGGTATGCTTGAAAGATATGAGAAATACAAATGTAAAAATATTGTTCAGTTTTTTTTAAATAAATTTACGAAAATTGCCATAACTACTAACTGACTGCTGTTGTGTGTGTGTGTGTGTGTGTGTGTGTGTGCATGGGGCAGACTGTGTGCACAGGCAGTGTGATCACCCTAATGCAAGCTATATCATATCAACCAGCATGAGCTAGATCTTCTCTAATACAAAACCTAATCTAACCTCTAAGTTCATAAACAGCTCAAAGTAATGTCTGTAACATGAAATACAATTTTAGTTAATTCCAACTAACGGTTTCCTGGCTTCAACAATAACACGTAACTCACCTAATAATTATTAAAACATCACAGGTAATATATGGGTAAACTACAGTTCCAACAAATTTAATCAATAATTAGGTATCTCGATCATCTCTGAAAACATGCGTTTGCAATAATTAATTCCGGTCAATATAATGATGCACTCATTCAAAGGTTTAGCACAGAATATACTGCTTTGTATAATCCTTACGTTCAATAATCAAGCAATTCCAAATTACTTGTGCATCCTCAAAACATAATAAGACAGGATAAAACTACATCTATATTGTACTATAAAAGTTTCATGTTCTCTAACAAAAATACATGTAATGATTGTTTTAATCATCTAAAAATAGACTTAAGATTTCATAAACAAATATAAATAACTGTGCAATAAAATGACAGGAAGCATATTAAAGTAAAAGCAATAACCGCTTGCTCTAGGTTCCTCTTAAACTCCTAATCAAAATACCTAGCTGAAGTTAAATCTGCAAAAGAAAAATATAATTTCCTTGATGTAATAAAGTGGTCTCTGCATGTGCTCTTGTTTCACTGCATAAGCTAAAGATCTAGAGAAACTTCTTTTCAACAAATTTGTGTAAGAAAACAACTTGCTGAAACTTCACTCAACCTCAAATATCCTACAAATCAGACCACTCAAGTCGCTTTCTCCAAGATAACTAATATTAATATAATCTAGTTGCTCTATTGTAGCATTATGGATACAATACATAATCTCATAAAATATAATCAAACTCATTAAAATGTGTGTCGCAATCATTAATTTACCAATTAGAATTCAATAACTGCACTATTAGACATAGCAAAATACAAGTTCTAAATGGTGGGTCTGCACATTATTAGACCACTATCACTGGTGGAGGAGAAAAAAGCTCTCCCTTGCTTGATCACAAGACTGTTTATGTACACTGTTGGTCATAAAGGTGGAATATTTATTTTTACCCCAGTTTAGGGAAGGATTTTTAAAAATTATTTATTTCTAATAGATCTAGATAATGGCATACATTCTCAGATTGTATTGAATACTAATTTGCGAGTATTTGTTTCGCGTGACTGCTTCATCATATGTGTGTTACTATGCTAATCAGCTAAGGGACCTACGTCCTTAAGTCATGATTGACAGTAATGAGGATTAATGCCTCACAAAAGGGCACTGATATATAGCTGATCGACACGATTTTTATCCTGGGGCCTCTCAGTAACGAGGCCATTGCTTAGCCCCTGAATCATTACTGTACGCAGTGTTTGCTAGGGTACGCGGCCCCTTCCACAATTCCCCCAAAACGAAGAAAATGCAATAAATTGTCAAAAATTCATTGCTTTTTCCCCCGGCCCCCAACAGAAAAAATTCTTCTGTAGGGCCATGCATAATGGTTCAAGGCATGGCCACACAGAGAAATTTTTCCTGTTGGGGGCGGGGGGAAATGACAATGAATTTTTGACAATTTATTGCATTTTCTTCGTTTTGGGGGATTTGTGGGGGCGGCCGCGTACCCTAGCAAACACTGCGTACAGTCATGATTCAGGGGCTAAGCAATGGCCTCGTTACTGTGAGGCCCCAGGATAAAAATCGTGTCGATCAGCTATATAAGTGCCCTTTTGTGAGGCATTAATCCTCATTACTGTCAATTATGATTTAAGGTCGTAGGTTCCCTAGCTGATTAGCATAGTAGCACACATATGATTTAGCAGTCACGCAAAAGAAACACTCGCAAATCAATATTCAATAAAATCTGAGAATGTATGCCATTATCTAGATCTATTAGAAATAAACAATTTTTTAAAATCCTTCCCTTAACTGGGGTAAAAATAATTATTCCACCATTATGACCAACAGTGTATATTTGTACCAGTCAGAGGCGCCACACAGTAAAAGAACAAGGCCCTGTTCACATGAATAAGCAACTTTGGTACCGTGTTTATACTTCGTTACAGTAAGTCTATGTAACTGCCTCCAGGCTTGTTCACATCCTAGCTGTGAATGGGCATCCACACACACACACACACACACATATACTACCACTTCATGAGGCGTTCATTCATAGCATAAACATAGTCCTATTCTTCTGCCGATCCTATACCTTCTAAAGTGTAATGGTAAAACATTGAAAAAGTACAGACTTATGTACTTGCAAAACTTTTCAATTCAATATACTGTTTAAAGATAAACTTGAGTTCTGGTAAAAAAAGAAAATGGACTCTCACAGAATCAATCGAAACTTACAATGAATGTTCAAGAATACGAATAAAAGTCATTTGCCAAATAATTTTGGTATAAAATGTATACTGGCTGAGTAATGAGCATAGAAAGATATTGAAATCAAGGTAAGTAGCCCCGACACCATTTCTGTAGTCCCATATACATCTTTCTGTGTACAGCGCTTGTAACTTTACTAAGACTGGGCCAAATTTGTTATGATTTTGATGACTCCAGAAGCTTGCAGTACACACCAATACTTACATGCTACATGATCAACTTTGTCTGATCCATTCCACACCTTTTCTTTCACAATGCAATCGCATGACCAGAACTCAACTTTATCTTTAATAACAATATACCGGCAATATATTGTACATGCACACTCAAGTAAGTCAGCATTACAGTCTTTGGATGCACATTCACATCCACACTCACATCCAATGCCAATGTATAAGCTAATTAGTATTATATAATCACTTCTGAAGACATTTATATGCGTCCAATAGTCTGTTAATTGTATGATTAGTTAAAATGTCAAATAATGTAATTTCTTACTGATAAGATCGTAATTGTTCAACTATTATAATTGTGTTCATGAGTATTATATATGAATTGTTATATCATTGTATACGATATTAATTTCTGTTACTACATTCTATCATATTTAAATCTTTAGTAATATATTTTATTATTGATTGTTATAAAGCGCATAGAAAATGTATTATTATGCGCTATATGAAAATGATTTTATTATTATTGTTATTACTAGGAGATTTGCTACACCTCTCGTCCGATGATCTAATAACACAGAGGCAATGAGAATTTGGGACTTTGAACAAAAATCCCACCCTCAATTCAAATAACACGTACAAGTAGAAACCATATTGCCAGATTTTGCCGTCTTCACCTTATATCGGAAGTTTAACCACAATCCTGTCACATATTGGGTGTGGTTAAACATTTGACATTCAATCTGATCAAAAGTGGGTTACCATTGTTTTGACGATGGTTTCAAGGGCTAGCAGACGTCTGTACATTCTGTGTCAACTAAAATAATGTGAAATCTTGACCTCTGATTTAATATCAGTCTATGTCATGTATATCAGCTTCTCACGTGAGCTCCTGACGTCAAGTCGCCACCCTGACTTCCTTCCTAAACCCGGACGATCTCTAACTTGCAGACAATTACGCAACTCTAAACTTATTCACGAATCAAGATGCAGAACCACGAGGTATTATCAATTGGCCCTTCAATCAATGGTTCGATTAATTTTTTATTGTAATTGGTTTGTATGAATATCTATCAACTTGCCCCCAAAAGCCTTCATAGTTTTGCTTAAACTTAATACTTATTGTTGAATCTTCAAGTATAATCTCTTTCACTGTTTCATTTATAGAATTATATTTATACACTGCATGTTACTACTGGTATCATAAACATTATTGTAAACTCTTACTTTACCATCAACCACATTTTCTTCTTCTTTCATTCTTTCATGCATATAAATGTCCCAACACAACTACCAAAAAGAGATTAATGATGATAGTATTTAACTGTGGAGTTTTACTCTTTAGGTTTGAATGCTTTCCAAGAACCACAACATAGCATCATACATTTCTTTTCTCCTGTCAATGTACATTAATTTGATATGAATGCATGTATGTTGATAATAACTAATTTTGGCCAGCGCTTTGTTCATATTCCAGACACTATACAACGCTACCTTGGCATCTTGGGTCTAGATAACCAACAGCACAATACTCCCATCTTGTCTCAGGATTGGTGGTGTAACACCAAGCAGTGTTCACTCCATCGGGGTTTCTGCAATAGTTGTTGTCTAGTCCCGCGTTAGGATAGTTAGCTGGAGTCTTCGTGTGTTGATTGGGATCCTGAGAGGTCCATGCTTGACAAGTATGATCTCCGATTGTGCGTGATAAGAGACCTCTGTAGTGCACTCCTGTAGGATCTTCCTGGCATGCAGGTGTGGCTAGAAAAGAAAAAAAGCACAGAGTAAAATTTCAAAAGAGATTGCAAAAGTAATATGAGTTTGATTCTGAATAATAATTTTCCCAACCTTTTCCCCCGAAAAGGCAACTATCTACTCTTATGCAACGATTGATTCACAGACCAAATAAGAATTGATTGCGTCAGTCACTTACAAATATGACGACGCTTGAAGTGTAGGCCGTTTGACTTCATTATCCTTACTGCCCAGTGCCCACTTGAAAAAACATTCAATATTCTAGACAAACCCAAGTTGACTACCCTCTAGACAAACACCCAGGATGACTACCCTCTAGACAAACACCCAAGACTACAAGACAACAATACCCATTTGCATATGATTTTAAACACACGCACTTCCGCCTACACTCAATTTCTGATTCACAAATTGAGTGGGTTTTTTACTCTTTAGGTGTGAATGCTTTCTAACATAGCATCATTTGTTTCTTGTCTCATGTCAATGTAAGATGAATTTATGAGGTTGCATGTAACTTGATATTAATACATTTTGGCCAGCGCTTTGTTCCCGTTCCAGACACTATACAACGCTACCTTGGCATCTGGGGTCAAGATAACCAACAGCACAATACTCCCATCTTGTCTCAGGATCGGTGGTGTAACACCAAGCAGTGTTCTCAATATTGGGGTTTCTGCAATAGTTTTCGTCTAGTCCCGCATTAGGAAAGTCAGCTGGAGTATTAGCGTGTTCATGGGGATCCTGAGAGGTCCATGCTTGACAAGTATGATTGTTGATTGTCTGAGATAAGTTTCCTCTGTAGTTCACTCCTGTAGGATCTTCCTGGCATGCTGGTGTGGCTAGAGAAAAAACACAGAGTAAATTTCAAAAGAGATTGCAAACGTAATATTTGTCTGATTCTGAATAATAATTTGCTCCATCTTTTCCCCCGAAAAGGCTATTATTCTTATGCAACGATTAATTCACAGACCAAATAAGAGTTTCTTGCTTCAGTCACCTACAAATATGGCGACGCTTAAAGTGTATGCCATTTGACTTCATTATACTTATGTGTCAGAACCACTGCCCAGTGCCCACTTGAAATACATTCAATATTCTAGACAAACACCCAGGATGACTTCCCTCTTGACAAACACCTAAGATGACTACCCTCTAGACAAACACCGAAGAATACCCTCTAGACAAACACCCAGGATGACTACCCTCTAGACAAACGCCAAGATGACTACCCTCTTGACATAAACCTAAGATGACTACCCTCTAGACAAACACCCAAGATGACTACCCTCTAGACAAACACCCAAGATGACTACCCTCTAGACAAACACCAAGATGACTACCCTCTAGACATACACCCAGGATGACTACCCTCTAGACAAACACCCATGATGACTACCCTATTGACGTACACCTAAGATGACTACCCTCTAAACAAACACCCAGTATGACTACCCTCTAGACAAACGCCAAGATGACTACCCTCTTGACATAAACCTAAGATGACTACCCTCTAGACAAACATCCAAGATGACTACCCTCTAGACAAACACCCAAGATGACTTCCCTCTAGACAAACACCAAGATGACTACCCTCTAGACATACACCAAGATGACAACCCTATAGACAAACACCTAAGACTACTACCCTCTGGACAACACCTAAGAAATTGCTGAAAACAATATGTTACTTAAATATTAAGAAATAAGGGGAGATAAAATCGAATAATGAATGGTACATTTGTATGAAATGTTGATTAACAACAATACCCATATGCGTTTGGTTTTAAACACACGCACATCCGCCTACGCACACTTTATGATTCACATATTGAGTGGGATTTTTACTCTTTAGGTGTGAATGCTATCCAAGAACCATAACATAGCACCATTCATTTCTTGTCTCATGTCAATTTAAAATAATTTGATGTGGATGCATGTATCTTGATATTAAATAATTTTGAGCAGCGCTCCTAGTAAACAAAACACTAAAAAGTAACCTCTTTTGGGAGTGTATTTTAAGTGATTTTAAAGTATGGTGCCTTTTGAACTAGATTTTAACGTTATCGACACGTGCCTTCATTAAAAAAAAAAAGTACTCCTGTTCACGTTTTCATCTAACCTAAAAACCATCAATTTATCACGCGACTGGAGTAACGTGATTCCACTTACCTCTGTAAATCAAGTGTTTATGACCAAATAACCACTTGACCAAGCAACGAGTTTTTTTGTCCGTTAACCGATGGTGGTGATAAATAAGTAGTTATTTGGTCTTGTAAGCACCTTTATCGATTGGTTTCACAGGTTATCCAAGGTTAATGGTAATAATCACGTTACTTACACCGGCTAATCGTCTTATTATTCTGTCCGTGAATCTCTGGTTATATTAAATTAGTAATTCTGAGGTGTCTTATACACCGCTTTAAATGGTTTCAGAGTTACCATAACTTTCTTGGTTATGATCACGTTATTGATTATTAATCTAAGCTGGGCATCGGTGACTTTTAGGGGTGAAAAATTAGTCATTATTAGGTGTCTTAAAACATCTATTTAAATGGTAGTCAAAGTTGCCAGCAGTTCCGCGGTGATGATCTCGTGACTCAAACTCAATTAATATAAGCTGGGTATTCCGTGATTTCCAGGTGTGAAAATGAGTTATTCTTGGGTGTCTTGATGTTTTCACAGATACCATTTAAGTTTCGTGGTGATAATCCCGTGACTGTTGGCATATTTCTATTTTCACCAGTTGATAACTGACTGTTGGCATCTTTTCATTGCACCAGTTGATAACTGGTCTGTGTGCATATTTCCAGTTGCCACAGTTGATGACTGGCTGACTGTTGGCATATTTCCAGTTGAACCAGCTGACACCAATTAATTTTCATATTGAATATGAGGTGCGTGCAGATCTATGTTTTTCAAACAATTTAACTGAATTTACAGCATATTTCTTAATTACTGATGATTTAGTTATTTCAAAAATACTACAAATATAAATTACCAGTTATTAGGACATTTCGCTACCTCGTATAAATTACATTTAGTTAAACATGAATAAGGGAAACATTAACTATGAACTAAAATAATTACAATAAAATACAAGTATATGAACAAATTTCGATTAATTAAATTATGTAAGTCTACTTATTACCAATGCCTTTACATCGGAAATACAGATGTACCAGTATTGAAGTGTTGTTGCCGTTCAACTGGTTGGAAGTTTTACCAAATGGTTCCAGTTGAATTCTAATTGGCCTGGATCAACTGGATCATTTAGCCAATTTTAATTACCGGGGTTACCAGTTGGCATTAACTGGTTCATCAACTGAACCAGTTGCAACTAGCTTTCTCTTCTGGGATGTTTGCAACCACGCCCCCCCCCCCCCCCACCCCCTGTTATCCCAAACTGCTTCCGGTTCATTTATTGTGTAACATTAGCGTAATTATTGGGTTGAACGCGGGTTACAGTAACATATTTCCTCTTCGACGTAAATTTCACGTGAATGAAGAACATGATTCATCTCAAGTCAGCCTCGTAATATTCACGTAAATTTCACGCAGCTATTTTGACTAAAACTATCACTAATGCTTCACGTGTTTCTGTGACGCGATAATTTAGTTTATGATGATGTAATTTCATAACCAAACAAACACGGGAGTATTAGTTTTCCAAACCATGGTCTCCAAGGTAGGGATCATCACGTTATCATAATGGTGATATTGCAGTGACAATTGCGTGATTTAGTGTACGTGTGTTTTAAGTGACCTAGTGCAATAAACGTATTAACACATTTACGTAAATGTCCGGTGTTTGAAGAACGTAACTCTCCTTAACTCGATACCTTGATATTGACGTGATTTTCACGTGATTTTTTTTTATTGGGCTTTGCTCACATTGTAAACACTACAACGCTACCTTGGCATTTGGGGTCAAGATAACCTACGGCACAAAAATCCCATCTTGTCCCAGGATTGGTGGTGAAACACCAAGCAGTGAAACGCATATCGAGGTTTCTGCAATAGTTGTTGTCAAGTCCCGCGTTAGGATAGTTAGCTGGAGTCTTCGTGTGTTGATAGGGATCCTGAGAGGTCCATGCTTGACAAGTCTGATCTTGGATTGTGCGAGATAAGTTTCCCCTGTAGTTCACTCCTGTAGGATCTTCCTGGCATGCAGGTGTGGCTAGAGAAAAAAAACATAAAATAAAATTTTAACCCTATCCACGATTTTTCCAATTGCTTGGGAATGCATATGGATGGCGCCCCGCTGCTCGCTGACTTTTTTCTTTCGAGTCTTGCGCAACTTTTAAAATAATTTTTTTTGAAAATCGGACCTACGGTTACAAGGTCACGTGACCTTTTGTCTTTGCATGTCAGCCCGAAAATCGCTCATTTTCGTGATTTGTGTACAAAACATATAAAAAAGTAATCTTTCCTAAAAACAGACCAAACATGGGTTATGGGGTCTTTTTTAAAGTTTAGGTGGTTGTTTTGGGAGTCAAAATAGTTGAATTGTAGTAAGAAATGAAATAAAACAACAAAAACAATGAAATACATAAGAAATTATCAAAACAAGGGATAACATAAGGAATAAGCTGGCTCTTCCAAAAAAATTTGTATTATTATTATTCAGAATGGTATAATGAATATATGTAGTGAAAAAGAATGCTTAAATATGAATAATATATGATTTATGGGTAAAAAGGGAGAGAAAGAAGGAGAGAGAGAGAGAGGGGGAAGTTACTAGACATATTTTGATAATGATCAAATTCATGACGACATTTCATTGTTTCCCTCACTTACTGGAGATAGTGGTTTCTTCATATTTCGTTGTGTCTAACATCGTGGTCGTAGGGCTAATTGTTGTGGGCTTGGTCTTCACTTCCGTAGTCGATAATTCTGTTGACTCTGAAACGTTATAACAAACTGAGCTAAATGATCATGATATAGTTGATAATTCAGGGTTATAACAAATGAAACCACACGTAGAAAGCAATGAGATTAGGAATGACACCTAAACAGGATATGAAGGCCAAAACAAAGCAAATTTAGCTCCATGAAAACATATAATTTTTAATAATCTATTTATTTTATAAGACATAAACTATATCAGCATATTTTGTAGATTTAGTGGTACTTTCTCAAATCCAAAAGGACTCTTTTGCCAAATAATTTATCTAAATTTGTTCCTTTGGCGTGTTTTTGTTGGTCATTAAACTCAGAGGAAAAGAATCGGATGGGTTCATCCCCCGTTAAAAAAGGGGTTTAGCATATAGCAATGCCTCTAAAAGGAAAGGACAAATAAAGCGAGAGTCAGATAAAGACCGAGAGAGAGATAGAGAGAGGAGGGGGTTATAGAGAATGAGAGAGAGGGAGAGAGAGAGAGAGGCGGAAAAGGTGAAGTGGCTAGAAACTTTATAACATTGATCAAATGCATTACGTCATTTCATGCGGAATGCATGTAGGCCTACAATTTCTGATGAAAGATGCAGCAAACTACGTGCAATTAAAAAATGGAAATTTGTTTAAACCCTGTAAAAGAAAGTCTCTGCATGCTCTTTGTTCATTAGTTGGCCACTCCCTCTCCCCTTGATACACCTATATTAGGGACTTTTAGATTTACAAGACGAGAACGTGGACTGCCACGTATCACATCCTTTTAAGGCGATGTGACGTCCTTTTAAAAGGATGTCACACATAGCAGTCCACGTTCTCGTCGTGCAAATCTAAAAGTCCCTAATATTTCACTTACGTTCATCACAGTGTCTCCCTCGTAAGTGAAACCCACTTAAGCAGTGACAGTTGTAGCCCACCATAGTCTCTTCACACCAGCCGTTTCGACAGAGTATTTTGCCACAATCTGCGAAATAAGTAATAAACGGGACACAACTCAAAACTGATTAACAAATTATCATTACACTTTGTTCTAATACCGTTCTCGACTGTTAATCCTTGTCTGAATGAAGTTTCCCCCCTCCCACGCGAAGCGCGAAAACTTTGACGTTTCATTATAAGACTGTTAATCCTTGTCTGAATTCAGTTTTCCCCCCCCCCCTCACCCGCGCGAAGCGCGGAAGCTTTGACGTTTCATTCAATTATTAGAGAAAGTAGACGATTCGTTGAATCGTGCTCGACTCTTAATCCTTGTCTGAATGAAGCTTCCCTCTCCCAGACGAAGCGCGGAAGTTTTGTTTGAATTGTTAGAGAAAGAAGACGATTCGTTGTACCGTTTTCGACTCATAATAAGCCCTAATTGTCTGAATTCAGTTTCCCCCTTTAGCGCGAAGCGAGCAAGCTTTGAGGTTTCATTAAATTATTAGAGAAAGAAGAGGATTCGTTGTACCATTCTCGACTCGACTAAATTAAGTTTTCCCCTTCCGCGCGAAGCGCGTAATTTATGGCGTTTCATCACAATATAGAGAAAGGAAGACGATTCGTCGTACCGTTGTTGACTCTTAAACCTTGTTTGAATTTAGTTTCCCCAAAAAAATTAAAAATTCTGATTTCTTTAGCTAATATAATAGGAAAGTGAAACTTCGAGAAAATACCAGTATTGTAGTTGTAGTCACTCTCGAAGTCGTCACAACGGATAAAAAGTCACAGTTCGTAACGGAAAAAACTTGTCGGCCGACCGACAATAAACATCTCACCGACTTCAAACTTCTGCATTGATATATTACACGAGGATCGAGCAAAAATACCGACACAGCTGACCCGACACAGCAACATACTTACCCGTGTTTTTCTTGCTCCCTCGACGAGATGACTTCACCCAACAACCCCCCAGGCTCTTACCTCCCCCTCTCTTCTCTCTTTCATCCCCCTTTCTTTATTTCCCTTTTACTCTTTTTTTTTCCTTCTTTTATTTCTTTTCCTTTCTTTCCTCTCCTCCCTCTTTTTCTTTTTCTTTCTTCTCTTTTCTTTCCTTTCTGTTCCTTTCTTTCCTTTTTTCTCCTTTCTTTCTTTTCTTTTTCTTTTCTTTTTTCTTTTCTTTCCCTTTCCCTCTCTATTTCCCCCTCCCCCTTTTCTCCTTTTTTCCCGACGGCAGCGCAATTTTACCGACAATATCCTGGCAAATTGGGGGGGGGGGGGTGTCGCACCCCCAACCCCTCCCCCATTGGCGACGCCTGTGAAGGGAGACAGAGCAAGAGAGAAAAGAGAGAGAGAGGGGAGAGATGCTATTGAGAAAAATGCCTTCAATATTTCTAGCATAAATAGCTATGCTCTTGAATTATGATCATTACAGTGTGCCGAAACTGCCGATGATGATATAATAATAATGTTCATGAAAACGATAATGACGTATTGATGATGATGATGACCATGATTAAAAGTGGTATAGCGTCCCCTTCAGGTATTCGATTGAGGATTGTTATACATGATAACTCACATGTCACCTATGATAGAATTGATTATATACCTCATTTTAAGATTCTTTACTAATCCTGTCTTCTGATTGGTTGAAAATGCAGTCATGTTCTTAACCATGCCCGCTAATTGAAATTCATAGTCATTTTCCCCGGCTCTACCGGTTTATATCCATTTTCATAGCACTTTTTCCATGGCTGTGAAACGTGACGTCATTTTGCTGCGATCCCCATTTTGGTTTACGTGTTACCGTATAAGTTTCTTTTGTGCGATGACCGATGCGCAATACCGTTAACGGTGTTTGAGTGCAATTCGATTTTGGTCGCTGCATTCAGGCGACGAATCTACCAATCCACGAAGCGCAGACGACCGATCGCCAATTTGTGTACTAGTCTCGATCGCAAAATACTGGGGTTTTTTGTATCCAATTTTTTGTCAATAAAGAGGCATTTTCCTTTTTTTCGGTATATAAAATATATATTGACTGCTTTTAATATTCGAGGCATAGTTGTTTCTATAGGGTCTCGGGAAACTCACAACCTGCTATGACCCCGCGGCGCAAGCGCCTTGGGGTCATAGCAGGTTGTGAGTTTCCCTTGACCCTATAGAAACCACTATGCCTCTCAAAGCAGTCAATATATCCTTACTATGATAACGTCATGATAATGTTAAATAGTCTACATAAATCTTGTGGAAACTTGTCTCAGCTACAACATACTAAAAAATCAACAAAATCCAAGCAGAAATAACGGCGATATCGCTCACAAAAGACAAGAATGTAGAATCCAGATTTGAGAAAAAGTCATCTATTAAGTGTAAATAGGGTAATAATAAAGTAAATAGAGTAATGTGTTTATTACATTATTTGCGATTCTACGTATTTTAATAATTAAAGGAGATGGTACAGTGAAAGGTCAAAAAGAGAAAAAAAGGGAAGACAAAAATTGTTGGAGACCCCCGGACTCGAACCAGGGATCTCAAGGTCGGAAGTCAAGTGCGTTATCGATATACCGAAACATTTCCCATTGCGAGTACACGTAAACGAAAAATGGATTTCTCAAATCCCACTTTGTAAGTGAAATATGAACATGATCCCGGCATCTGATCGAAAAATTTGGAAAATTGACATGCCTCCTTTAATCGCAAAAATACGCCATGATGCCTTTGTCACAATGAAAAATCGTGGCAACTGCGTTTGTAGAAAATTGTCACAGCTAGAACATAATAATATTAAATAAAAAAAAATAATAATTCAATATTACGAGAAATACACTAAATTTTCCATAAATATAATGACGTCATAATATGCATTTTTGTATTTTGACTTCCAAGGGCATTATGTTGACGTCAAGATGTACTTAATGACCAAATGAGATATGAAATCATATCTCCGACTCATACTCTATCTAAATACGAAAAAATTGGCAGTCCTTATTCATCCCAATGGAGTTTTTATAGGCATGTTTTTGCCCATATATATGCTATGTAATAAATGAGCTCGCGCGCACGGATATTCAAATTCAAATTTCAAATTTCAAATTTCAAATTTATTCATGTTTCCAACAAAACATTACATATCAATTATAAGCATTTAAAACAAATTTAAGGAATACATGTTGAACGGGCGCTCATTCCGTTATTCGTTTGCGCACGTTTATTGACCTAAAATTGACCGGACGGATATTGATCTTAATCATGATAATAATAATAAATATTATATACCTCATTTTAAGATTCTTTACTAATCCTGTCTTCTGATTGGTTGAAAATGCAGTCATGTTCTTAACCATGCCCGCTAATTGAAATTCATAGTCATTTTTCCTGGCTCTACCGGTTTATATCCATTTTTCATAGCACTTTTTCCATGGCTGTGAAACGTGACGTCATTTTGCTGCGATCCCCATTTTGGTTTACGTGTTACCGTATAAGTTTCTTTTGTGCGATGACCGATGCGCAATACCGTTAACGGTGTTTGAGTGCAATTCGATTTTGGTCGCTGCATTCAGGCGACGAATCTACCAATCCACGCAGCGCAGACGACCGATCGCCATTTTGTGTATTAGTCTCGATCGCAAAATACTGGGGTTTTTTGTTTCCAATTTTTTGTCAATAAAGAGGCAAAATGGAGGACACAGCTATGCCAAGATTTCAACTTATGGATGACATTCAGCTGCAAGACTTAATCGATTCTGCTGATAGCAAAAATACGAAGTATGCAGTAAAATACGGCATTAAAATATGTTCTTGCGAAATGTCAACACGGACCTCGGAGATGTAAACAGACTTCCGAATGCAGGTTAAATGGGTGAGTCAACATTTTCCTTTTTTTCGGTATATAAAATATATATTGACTGCTTTTAATATTCGAGGCATAGTGCAAGCGCCTTGGGGTCATAGCAGGTTGTGAGTTTCCCTTGACCCTATAGAAACCACTATGCCTCTCAAAGCAGTCAATATATCCTTAATAATAATAGC